TGGCGTCTGTATGCAATTCAGTTTCGGCTGTCGAATTGTATATACACAATACCGGAGGAGAAGTTAATTCCTTCTTTAACAACTCGAAACTTTTTATACACTCTTCTGTGAATTGAAAGTCTACTCCTTTTCTGGTTAAGGCTTGAAGAGGTCCGGCCTTTATAGCATAGTCTTTAATGAATCGTCTAAAATAACTGGTGAGACCGAGAAAACTTTTTAATTCCTTTAAATTCTTTGGACATGGAAAATCCAAAATTGCTTGTATGTATCGTTTACTCATAGTTACGCCTTTGCTGGAAACTCAGTAACCGAGATATTCGATTTCTTTTTGTAAAAATAGGCATTTCGAAATATTTAACTCTAATTGGTATTGTTTTAACAGGACTAAAACTTCTTCAAGTATTTCCAGATTTTCTTTTTCTGTACGAGTCGCAATCAATAAGTCGTCCATGTATATTTGTATTTTTCCGCGTTTAATCAATGGAGTAAAAATCTGTAATATTCTCTTTTGGAATTCCGTCGACGCTTCCGAATAGCCAAATGGCATTTTTACATATTCAAACTGACCGTGTGGCGTAGCAAAAGCGAAGTATTTGGTGTCGTCTGGATGTATTTGAATCCGATAAAAATCGTCACGAAGGTCGAGTTTCGTGAAGATTTCTTTGCCATAGAGCAAATCTAGTTGATCCTCAATGATCGGGAAAGGATATTTTTGCTGGAACACGCTGATTTAACGGTCTTAATCAATACACATACGATCCCTTTCACTTCGCTTCTTTACCAACACCACTCTCGCACAGTATGGAGAAATGTTTGGCTTGATTATGCCACATTCGAGCAAGTCATCGGTAATTCGCTCTAAACTTTGTTTTTCCATATAAGACATGCGTCTTGGCGCGAATCGATAGAGAGAAGAATCTTTTAGATGCCCTGATTTTATAGTCATCATTAATCGGATCAACTTTAGTCTCATTAACTTTTTTAAATGTATCCAACAAATTCGATTTAGCTTGATAACTCAAGTCTGAATTTAAATTTTCCGTTATTTCATCATAGAAAGTCCTCTCCTCCATCGTATTGATTAAACAAATATAGTTAATTTCTGGAATAGTCGACGGAAGGTGTTCAAATTCAAAAGTTCCATTTTGATAAATTAAAATTGAATATTGGCATTCGAAAAAAAATCTCGACCCAACAATATATCAAATGACATAGTGTTGTCGTTAACGACAAATAGAGTCACATCAAACCAATATCCCGCCAATTTATCAAGACTAATCTGATCATGAATTTTGCCATGAACTTGAATCATGGAATTATTTACACCTTTTAAATTTAAACCCCCGGTGACTTGCAATAATTTGTTGTTTTTAAAATGTTTTAAATAAATTGACTTTTTAACGAGACTTATTGGACTTCCAGTATCGACTAAAACGGAATACGTTCGACTTATTTCGTTCAAGCTATGTATCGTAATAAAAGGTGTCGTTTGTTCAACCATGTATACGCCTTGATACGCCGTTGGTTCCACATACGCGTCCTCCTGCGATGTATCATTGTCCTGCGTTAGTAGATTGACTCGAACTGCTCCGGACTCTGGCCTCTTCGTTGTACACGTCGAACTCAGATGCCCCTGTTGACCGCATTTGTAACGTGAGCTTCGCTATACGGTACTCCTGCACCGTGTGACCTCGTTTCTTACAATGAGTACAGGATTTTTCTACACCGATGTTATTTGGTTTAAACGTACGAGCATCTTCCTTCTCAAAGCGTTTAAAGAGTACTGCGTCTTCTGTGATTCGTCGAACATGATTCACGAATTCTGGAATGGTGTCCATACACGTATTCAAAACGAAGCGTCTCAGCGATGGATCTCTTACGCCGTCTGCTAGCAATTCAATCTGCTCGCGTTCGGTCAAGTTCAGAAATTGCATGACCTTCAGTTTATCCTCGACATAATTCGTAAACTTTTCTGTATTCGTCTTCCATATACGATGATTGACTCTCGCGAGGGTCATTGTAACCGACTCCTTTCGTTCGAAATAAACACATATGTGAAATTTAAATTCGTCCCACGTGGTGACTGTCCGGTTGTCGATTGAATCAATCCAGTGCTCGGCCCGACAATTGATTAATCACGGCAAGAACAAGCGTTTCGTTACTGATTTGATACGTCCTAGCTATGTTTGTGCAGCAATCTATCCATTTCACTACATTCTCATCCTCCTTGCCAGAAAACGATGGAATCAATTTAGAGGTAAATTTCACCTAACTCCAATTATAAGACATAAGCGGGAGCGAACCCGTTGTTCCCATTCCGGATATTGAGCGCAACATCTCTCCATTTCCACGTTCCGCTGGTTCCACGCGTTGAGGGCGCTTTGCCTCTATCGTTTGCACTACCGCCTGTACAATCTCTTGTATATTTAAAATTAA